GATTATAGGTGTGCACCACCATGCCCAGCAAGAACAGGTATTTAAATGTTAACAGTGCTCCACATCATCCTGATACCATCAGTTGTACTAGTCTGTTTGTCTTTGGTATAATGTAATACCTGAGGCTGGGTGGCTTTATAAAGAAAAGGGGTCCAGCTCTGGTTAGAGCTCAGTGGATGAGCTCACGCATATGCAGTCTTGGTTCAATCCCAAACACCAAAAATGGGGGGGCTTATTTTGGCCCCCAGCTTTGGTTCAAGTTCAAGGGGCTGCATCAGGCAATGACCTTATATTATAGGTCAGGAGACAGGAGTGTGCAGTCTCTCCTGGTGTCTGTCTCTCTCCTCTGATTAAGGCACCACTATTCCATTCAGGTCTCCACCCTGATGAACTATTTAATTCTGCCTCCCAAGTGCCTCATTTCTAAAGACAAACTCATCTGCCACCCTCTTAATCCCTCACCTTGGGGTTAAATTCCAACACCTGCACCTTGGGGGATCCACCCAAGCTTCCCTCCGGCCAGTGCGGCTCTCCTAGTTTTGGTATTCTGCTAGCGGGCTTTGCTGTGATTTAAATTTCCTTCCCTGTGGCCCAGGACTTTATCGTCTTTCCACAGGTATACTGCAATTTGGATGTGAGCCCTGTGGGTCGCCTGCTACAGCATTTTCCTGCTTATCTTTTTTATGGGTTTGTAGGATTTCTTAGACAGTTATTTGCATACCAGTTATATATGTCTTCTTATAGTATGTGCTGCACTGCTACTTTCTTAATGGTTTGTTTTGTTTTGAGACAAAATGTAGTCCAGGCTGGCCTTGAACTCACATTGATCCTCCTGCCTCAGCCTTCCAAGCCCTGGGATCACATGCATGAGCCCCCACACCTGGCTCTTAATGGTTTCTTTGATGAATACCAGTTTTTTTAAATTTTCATAAAGTCTCATTTAAAAAAGAAGAGATAACATATAGCATATACAGGTGCAAACTCCCTGTGATGAATGTCATCATGTATATCTAAAATGTTTTGGGTTTTTTGTTTGTTTTTTTAGACAGGGTTTCACTATGTAGTTGAGACTGACCTGGAATTTACTATGTAGCCCAGGCTGGTGCGGAACTCACAGCGATCCTCCTGCCTCAGCCTCCCGAGTGCTGGGATTTCAGGCGTGTGCCACCACGCCCGGCTAATAAATGTTTTGCTTTAAAAAAAAAAAAAAGTCCCATTTACAGCTTTACAGTTCATGTTTTCTGTGTTCTGTTTAAGAAAAATTATTTCTCTGGGTTATGAAACACTTCTTTATTCTTTTCACCTTCCATGTAGATCTGTGGTTTAGCTCTAGTTCTCACCCACAGCATGAGATAAAGGCCAAGTGTTGCCTCTTCCTTACTTCCATGTCAGTGTTGTTAATCCTACACCATTTGATGAGACCACATTTCCTTTGAAGACTTCTTTTTACCCCAGTACTGGGGATTGAACTCAGGGCCTCCATACTGCGCTACATCCCCACTCCTTTTTATTTTTCCCAAACACACATTCATTTATTTATTTATTTATTTATTTTCCCCTTGATCTTAGCCAAAAAGTTGAGAAGGGATTATTATTTTTTAATTTTTAAAAATTTTAATAACCCGGGCTGGGGATTGAGCTCAGTGGTTCTGGTGCCTGCCTTGAGTTTGATCCCCGGTACAAAAAATAAAATAAAATTATTAACCCAAGTTCTCTCCCCAGTACCAAAAATGAAAAAATAACTAATAAAATTTTTATTACTATATGTTTGCAGCACAGAATACTCACATTCCCCCTGGGGAGTTGGTACGTGTACATAACACATCTTAATTCCTTTTCTAATCCCCTTTCCTTCCCTTTCTATTTTTTAACACAGGGTGTCATGAAGTTGTAAAGTTGCCCAGGCTGGGCATGAACTTGCAGCCCTCCTGCCTCAGCTTCCCAGAGTGCTGGAATTGCAGCTGTGTGCCACACTGCCCGGCTGAAAGCCTTCTTTGGAACTCACATATTGTTGGTAGGAAAAAAAAATTAGTGCAATTCCTTTAGAAGACTGTTTGACAGGATCTACCACAGCTAAACTGGGAAGCAGACATAGACCCTACTGCACAGCAATTCTACACCTAACAGATGAGTAAGTACGTCTTCCCACCAAAAAAGTGGTGAGTTCAAGGCCAGCCTGAGCTGCATAGTGAGACCCTGTAGCAAAACAAACAAACAAACAAACAAAAAACCCCAACCCAACCCAATCCAAACCGGACAAAACAACCTTACGAAGGAATGATTTGCAGCAGTCTTATTAATAATAGTCGTATTAGTAATAGCCCCAACGAGGGCTGGGGACATCGCTCTGTGGTGATGTGCTGTCCAAGCACGAGCAAGGCCTTGGGTTTGATCCCCCATACCAAAAACATAATAACAGCCCCTCTGAAAACAACAAAAGATGGCACAGTGCTGCACCTGCCTCACAAGTGCAAGGTCCTGAATTGGGTCCCGGTTCAAGAAACAAAACAAAACACCACCACCAACCAAAGAAAAACCCAATTTGGAAATGGTGGATAAACAAATTATGGGCTATAGAAATAAAAAATAAATAAATTGTGGGGGCTGGGGATTTAGCTCAGCAGTTCGGTGGCCTGCCTTGCAAGTGCACCGACCTGAGTTCAATCCCCGGTACCAAAAAATAAATAAATAAATAAATAAATTGTGGAAAGTGAGGTGTGATCACAAATACTGTGACTGTTTAAAAAAAATTGTTTCTGGTACCAGGGATAAAACTCGGGACCTTGCACTTGTGAGGCAGGTGGCGGCACCACTGAGCTAAATCCCTGGGCCTAAATTTTTTTTTTTTTTATTTTTTGGGGTAAAAGACACATTGCCATCCGTCCCCCTCGAAATGCTTGCTTTGGCTTGGAGTACATTTCTTCCATGGTTCTTGCACTTCCTGCAGCAGCTCTGGATGTCCTCTTAGAGGGTCATTAGTTGTACTGTGGTGGCTGCCTCAATGTCCTGAATTGATTCACAACATTTATTTCAAGGTCATTTTGACTTTGGGGAAGAGCCTAAAGTTGCTTGGTGTCAGATCTGGTGAATTAGGTGGATCTCAACACAGCTTTTTTTTTTTCTTTTTTTGAGACAAAATCTCACTGTGTAGCCCAGGATGGCCTTAAACTCCCAGTGATCCTCCTACCTCAGCATTTTTTTTTTTTTTTTTTTAAACCAAGTCGAATTCAGGTCCTTGCACTTATGAGGCAGGTGGCGGAACCACTGAGCTAAAATCCCCGGGCTCTACCTCAGCCTCTTTGAGATTTTTTTTCCTTGGTACCGGGGATTGAACTCAGGTCCTTGCGCTTGCTAGGCAGGCCACCGAATTGCTGAGTTAAATCCCCGGCCCCTACCTCGGCCTCTTGAGTGCTGGGATCACAGGCGCATGCCAACCACCCTTCCCAGCTTACTACATAATGTTTCCATTGGGCGGCACTCAGCTGCAGCATTTACAGTATTTTTGATCACACCTCAGAAAGACACAAGAAACAGGCTCTCAGTACACACAGATACAGCGTGTTGGAGGGAAATTTAACAATAATCACTGAAAGTTAAAAATATTGGCATCTATTTATATACAATTCTATAAAATGGTAATTAATAAACCTTAGATCAGTGGTTCCAGGCAAGAGAGGAAGAGATTACAAAGCAACATGAGGAAGCCGGGGAGCAGTGCACCTGTCTCCTGATCTTCACCACGCGCTGTCACAAGCACATCTGCAGGTCAGGATCGCTCAGGGATGCTTTAGAGCTCTCCTGTGACCCAGCTATTTGGGAGCCTGAAGCAGGAGGGTCTCAAGTTCTAGGCCAATTTGGGCAGCTTAGCAAGTCCTTGGGAGACAGGCATGGTGGTGCAGGCCTGTGATCCTAGCACCCTGGGAGGCTGTAAGGGAGAATCACAAGTTCGAGGTCAGCCGGGGCAATTTAGTGACTTAGTGAGACCCTGTCTCAAAATAAAAAAGGGCTGCGGGTGCAGCTCAGTGTGAAGGCCCTGGGTTCAGTCCTCAGCACTGGGGAGAAAAAAAGGATAAAATCTAATCTACGTCCATCTGCAGTGACATGGCATAATATCCAAAAATATCACTGAGAGAATAAAACAGTAAACAGGATGCCTTCTTTTTTTTTTTTTATTTTTTTTTTTTTTTGGTACGGAGGAGCGGCGCTGTGCCACTGAGCTAAATCCCTAGCCCCAGAATGCCAGTTTTTCTTCCGGTACTGGGGGCCGAACCCAAGGCCTTCACATTGAGCTCTATCCCCAGCCCCGCCCCCATCTTTTGAGGCAGGGTTTTTCTAAGTCACTAAATTGCCCAGGCTGCTCCTGCCTCAGCCTCCCAGAGGATTCAGGTTACAGGCCTGAGCCACCACGCCCAGCACGAGTTAAGAATATTCTTCTTTATCATCCCACGCTGCGCACACGTGGTGTCCGGCAGGAGGAGGTGGCAGGCTGAGACTGAGGAGGGAGAGGCCACCGGCTTCCTCGT